AAATAATTAAAACAAGGTGTTTTCAACTGACTGGCTCTTACTCTTCCTGAAAAAAGATGTAAGTTTTAAAAAAAATCATGTGATGCAATTCCCTTGTTGTGTTTGTGTGAAATGATGACTGAGCTAGTCTAGGATAACATTAGGTACTTGAAAGAAAAACATAAACCCAGAATCCTAGAAGTGAAGAATAAGTTAAATCGAAATCATGGCACACTGTGGAGGCCTTAACTCAGTTTTTTCAATGATACTGGGGTAGTTGTAGCACCGTTTTTCTATCACTCAGTCTGCACAGGCGAAGGAAATGGCAGCATGTGCACATGAATGTCAAGTGCAGATTTTCCAGCTATAGCTTTGTCAGCACATTTAGGTATAATTTTATTTTTCAGTGTGTTATTTCCAAGCAGTTCAGGTCAAGAACAACTTTTTTGAATTCCCAAGTTAGCAGGAAACACTTTCCTTCTTAGTCAATGAACAAAAAAAGAAATGTGGAGGACTGAAGGATTTTCAGTTTTAAAATCCTGCATAAATTACACAGAAGCCCCAGGTAAGGTATTTTTCTTTGGAAGCTGAAGTGTGGAAGTTATTAAACTCTTTTCTTACCAGACCTCAGAGAGTAGATCTTGGCCAACTTTATAATTTTGGTAAAACGCTAAACTGCTGTGCTGTAAACCTCTCCTCCTGGTGTGATTGCCTCCAGGTTGCACAGGAGATCTGGGTCTGTGAGAAGCAAACCATCACCAAGTGGCAAGGTGACATCCTCGCCTACAAGGAGCATCTCAAGTCCAAGCTGGTGGATGAGGACCCTCAGCTCACCAAAAAGACCCACAACGTGTGAGCCCTGGAGCAGTGGGTCAGGTCTCCCGTGGGGACTGAGGTGGCCCAGGGGACTTGCCCACCTGCCGCCTGGAGCGGACTCTGCTGCTCTCTCTGTGGCTGTTCTAGGATTGCTGCAATACTGCTTCCCCCAACTTGCCTTGCACCTCTGCGTCTGGACAGAGCTCTTCCCTCCTGATCTGGCTACGTTTGGGCAACTGTTTCCATATTTAGATTATGTCCCATCTGAGCCAGGCCTTGGGATCTAATGGTCTGGGGTCGTGGCAGGGGCAGTGAGGGGGTCCCAGCTGCAGTGATACAGACATGGAGACCCCAGCCCAGCTTCTCCCGCCTCTTCCTTCCCAATTTCTGCTTCAGTTTAGATACTTCACTGACTCCTCTGGCCTTGGTTTGTTTTTAACTATTATTTAACAGTGTAATTAACAGATCTGCCTGAGAATCCAACAGTCAATAAAGAGGGAAGAACAGTCCTGTTTGTGAGCTGTAGTTGTTACTGGGGCACGTTGGGGCAGCTCCGCTAGCGCTGAGCTCTGGGTGAGGATGCAGAGCCCTTCCTCCTGGGGCCAAGGTTCAGTTCTTCAGCATTACCAAAGCTGACCAGAACCCGTGGGATACGTGGTGAGAACTGAGCTCTGGAGGCAGAGAGCAGTGAGCAGGATCCTCCCCCGGGAAGTCCCTGTACATCCACAGAGCGCTGGGTTTGCCAGTTGGTGACAGAAGGGGGAGCAAGCTACCCGTGCTGTGTTCACAGAGGCAACCTGGGAGGGTTCTGAAGACTGGAAATTGGACATAAAACACCAGCATGTGTTCCCAACCACACAGTGGCTTGGGTGCATGCTTTTCCCTTCACCTGAAGCTTTATGGGTCTAATAATGAGGATCAATTCAAGATTTTTGGACTGTGAATTAGGTGCTCCTTGCAGGTTTAACCAAACAAGATTAATCAACTAAAGATATTTTAACACCTATTTTTGTTCTTAATAACATTTTTTTTCAGAAAAGTTTGTATTTAAACCTCACCCTGTGCCACAGAAGCTTGAATAAAGACATTTTTCATGTATTTTAAAAACAATTAAGAGGTACTAAAGAAAAGGATAGCAAATCAAACCAAATAGCTGCTTATAAGTTATTTTCATTACTTCTGACACGAGGATGGCTGCACTGGTCATGTGAAAGGTCCATGTAGCTCCATCACCTGTTCCATCAGGAGTATGTGCTGATGGGCAAATTGAAGAATAGGACAACCATGCAGCAGTTGTGCTCTCCTGGAGGATTTTCTCAGAGGTCAACTGTGACTCTGACTTTCTGGGTAGAGTTATGTCCTTGTTTTTTTCCCAAAGGGACCATCCAAGTTGTGACTGCTGCTATAGAAGCACTGTGAATTGTCCACAGGACAAATGTCACAATGGGAGCACAGTGACAGTGCACAGCATTCCAGTTTTCTGTGAAAATAATGCAGATTAGTATAAATGCTGTTCAGGTACTGCAGAGAGATCCAGATTGCATTAAAAGTCACTGAACTGAGTATCTCCCAGAGCAGTACTCAGAAGTTAGCAGACAGGGATGGAGGAAAAGCAACCCCCAGATAACTAACTGCTGTAAGGACTGATTGGTGTCACAGAAGTTGAAACAAGATGAATGTATGTCTCCATTCTGCTCTCCAAGTTTAAAAAATGTTGGTGAGTTGGAAAGTTGCAAAAGTATCCATGAGAATAGTGAGGTTGAGAAGTCCTACCCAAGTCCAGAGCTGTTCATTCTGCTCCTTATTCTTAGCCAAGATGTGGCAGCAGCTCTTGACACTGCATTTCACATCTGTGTAGCTGAGCCATGATGGCAAGAATAAATGCAGGATATAATCTGACACGGAGTTCTTTTGGAATGGTAAATCCTGAGAAGGGCATGGGGACGTTGGGATGGCAGCCAGCATGATAGAGTGCTTGGAGGATCCTTGGAGCCAATGCAGCAAAAGCAAAACCGTGTTCACTGGAACGTCTCAGCTGCAGACATGTCTCTGGTTTAGCATACAGGGACCTCAGGTACATGTTAAAAGGTAAAGTAGCTGTAACTGCACTAGAGGTCCTGGTTAGTAGGCCAGGACTTGTAAACTGTATCAGAGAGACAAGTCAGTCTGTCATTTCAGCTTTGGTTTAAACCTGTTCTGTGGTGACAGTTTGTCAGACTGCACAGAAGCAGCTGTGGCAGATGGATGTCCTGGATAACTGAATCCTGTGAGTGAGACAGCCAAGAGCTGGGGCATTTTGAAATGTTCCAGCCAGGGCTTTTCTGGTCTGCACAAAAGCAAATTATCTAGGTAAATTATGATAACTTCTTCTTAGCTGCTAGGGTGGTCATTTCTGTGGCCTCTGCACCGTGACTCTTGCAGTGCACAGGTGAGGAGGTTGGCTCCAACACGGCTATGGCCAGAGTGGCAGGTCCTCCATCAAGGGAAGGTTGGGGGATTCCTTTGTCTTTGCATTGTGAGTTGATCCATACACTACAAAAACACACAAGGATGAGCCAAGCCCAGCACACAGTTTCCAGAATAGACAGACAGTACCCAAACCTGGGAGTTCTAATTTGACTAAACTGCTCCGTAGATGAGCCTCTACCCTTGCTGTATTATGGCTCTGTGCACATAATGCTGAGTGACCAGTCACTGCTTCTTGCCCACCAAAGGGCTTCCTTCCAACTAAACACTTGGTCAGAGACACAAGCTGTGTGTAACTGGGTGCCAGGCACAGTTGCAGCTGTAGAGGTACAACAGCTATGTGAGCAGGAGAGCCTTTGTGTGCCATGGCTGGTGGAACAGTTCAGTGGCAGGGAGTGGCCTCCCCAGCACAAAAGTCTCAGCTACTTACAGCCCTGCAAATCAGTGTGGAAGTGAAATGTACACCAGAGGGAGAAGCCATGTGCTGCTCTGTGTCTGCGTGTGGTGTTTCCCACTCCTTACTCCCAGTGCAATCATCCACAGGCACCTCTGGACGTTGTTAGGTATCATGGATATGCTGCTCCCATTTGCCAGAAGGAGCACACTACCTTCTATCTGCAATACCTGAACCCATTCCCTAGCACAGATGTGCTGATGTGACTGTCCCAGACTGTCCCACCTGACCACCAATGTTTCAGTTCTTGGGTGCCAAAAGCCTTTCTGTGATCCTTGGGCCCCATTTGTCACTCTGACACTTATTTGCACCAGGGGTGGGTGCTCAGGTGCCCCCCATGAGGACAGACCAGAATAAAACTAAATGCAGGGACACGCTCTTGGCTCTGCAAGCACTGGCAGAGTGACTGATGGGTTGGTCTCCCACACTCAGTGGAGCAAACGTGGTTTGCTATGGATTACCAGTATAACCTGTGCTCCTGAGTAAGGGGCACTGCCTGGCAGTGCAGACACCAGGCTATGAAGTGTCTGCTGTGCTGCCCATGGAGAAGGGCTTCCTTTTCTATCTAAAGGATGGAAAACTTTTTATTTTGTCCACTTCTCTGCTGTGTTGCTGCACATTTTTTCCTGGTTTAGCTTCACTCCTGCATCATAATTACCACCACTAGTGCAATCACTGGTTTTCAAGACAGAAGGTGTCAGCCCTTCCCTCCCACTGCCCTGTCCTCTGAAGCCCTGCTGGGTGTGCAGGGCTCCCAGGAGCAGGGTGGCTGAGACAGGAGAGGGACACTGGCTGTTGCGGTGCTCATGACATCGTTCAGGCACTAGACACACATTCCCTCCAGTTACTGAGTCTCCACTGACTGCATTAACTATTCCCAAGCACAGAACTGGTTCCACCCATTTAATTCTGGAAGCAGCACCTTAAGGTACACTCTGATTGACACTCTCCCACCAAAGCAGGAACCTCCTTTTACCAAACCCCAGATGGACCTGGGAAGAGCTCTTCTCTAGCACTTCTGTCCCAGGTGAATGTGATGGTCCTGCTCTTGCTCACCTCTTTGCTCATCTTACCCTCAAACCTTTTATCAGGTCTGAAAGTTTGATTGAACCAGTTACTTCCAAGCTCCCCTCAGGCAAATTGGGATCATCACTCACAGATGTGTGTTATCCTGCTCCTTGAGGGCTGAAGTTGGGGCAGGTGAAGGGCTGCTGCCTTTGCTATATAACCAGCCCCGTGGCACCCACCAGTTGCTCTGCAGGAGCTGCCTCTTTTGGGAGCTGAGATGAGTGCAGAAGCTGGAAGGAAACGTGGTCATACTCCCTCCTCTGGGGACAAGAAGGCTAAGAGGAAGCCTAAGAGAAAGGAGACCTACTCAGTCTACATCTACAAAGTACTCAAGCAGGTGAGGAAATACTTATTTTCTACTAGGAACTGCTTAATATGTAGTTACTTCTGCTCCTTGCATGTTAACCTTACAGGGGATGGAAGAGTGGCTCTTTGGTGTGATGGAAAAGAGTGGCTACAGTAGAGCCCCAGCTGAGTGTCAAAAGTTGCGTGTGTGTTGGGGTAGGAGGCAGAGAGAGACCTAGATCAGGGAGGGTTTCCTAGAGAGAGTAAGCACTAGTGGATGGATCTGCCTGAAGAAATAATTGAGTAGAAGTCACTATGACCAGAGCAGCTGCTGATGGCACCGTGAGTAAATACTAAAGCATTTCTGGTAATGTCTGCTGAGAAGGTGAGAAAAAGAATTCTGAGAGGTGGCCATGAGCTGTCAAGGCCTCTGTTGTCTGCATGAGCCTGTGGGCAGGATGTGGAGCAGGAGGATGTTTCCACCCCTTACAGGCTTTTTTCTGTCAGGGATTGTGTGGAGGCTCCTGGCAGCCCAATCCTGAAGCCCTGTGGACCCTGGGGTCCACTCCTCAGTCCAATGCAAGTGGCACCACCTTGAGACCCTCAGGGTAGCAGCTGTGGGGCCCTCGGGGGTTTGGGCCCCTGCCTGGGGTGCAAAGGGCAGCCCCATCTCTCCTTGGGTGCTGAAGCTGCTGCTCCCTGGGGTGCCAGGTGTGTCAGACTGTGCTCACTTACCCTGGCAGGTGCACCCGGACACCGGCATCTCCTCCAAGGCCATGAGCATCATGAACTCCTTCGTCAACGACATCTTCGAGCGGCTGGCGGCGGAGGCCTCGCGCCTGGCCCAGTACACGCAGCGCTCCACCCTCACCAG